GCCCCGCCCACACGCCAGACGCAGCTCCCGCCTACACGCCCGACGGCCGCAGCTCACGCCCACACGCACGATGGAAGCGGAGTATCATCCGCCGGGACCGGCAACAGCACGCCGCCTTCCGGGACCTCGTCCGGTCCTCCCCCAGCCAGGTAAGACATCCCCCGAAAAAAAAAGACCTAGTGTCTTATTTCGTGCAAAAAAAAAAAAATAAGACACTGTCTTATTTTCGGGGAAACACGGTATGTTAAATTTCCAAAAAAAAATCTATGAATTTTTTTTTTAAATGTGGACAGTGGCACACACCTGTGAGTTCTCTTCTGCAATGGTGACCTTACAGAAGCTAGTATTTCTGAGTAATGCGTGGCTTGGAACAATCGTTTCATATATACATAACTCTCAGTAGATAACACGCTCTTCCACATCCCAGAAGAGTTCACTGTATCACAGGAGTTTCCAGCATGCTGGAAAATCTCTGTAGTTCTTTAGTGATCATTACCTGTTACCTACTGAACAGGGAATGTGCTACATTAAAATAGAAATGATCTTATGATACACTTATGTATCAGAAAACTGACTAATTAAAGAACACAGACTAAATCCATGACAAAGGTCTTGAAATCTCCCAGCGTTTAGTGCCACAAACAAGTAACTTCAGATTTCTCACGGACTGTCATTCTGAGGAAAAAGATATACTAATGTATCGACCACTTATACTGTGTAAAATGTTATTTGTTTATTTGCGCTGCCATGAAGAACATCTTTTTTGGAAGCATCCCTGCTTTCCCTATATATATTGCACTCCACTGATGATGTTGAGGTATGCCACTCTGCAAATGTATGAGAGGTAGTGGTGAATCAGCCTCATTCAAAAGTCATGTGATATCCCAGCAAAATTAAGGGGGAAAAAATCAGTGTAAAAAGGCAAATAAAATAAGTTCAGAGGAAAGTGAAAGCACTACCCATTCCAGTGAAGCAACTAAATCATTAAAAAAAAAAAAAAAAAAAGTTCCATTATGGTAAAGGTAAAAAGAAAAAAGTAAAATCTAATCTGGTTTTATAAATCAGTTTCAGTACTTGTACTTCTATACAGCTGGCTTAAATGGGGATATTGAGTTTTTAATTTGTAACAGCAGGGAGAGGTACCCATACTCTGCAGGTTCTATGCTTCACTAACTGCATTGACGGATTTAACCAACATTGCCATCTGCTGGTGAAGGTAATGTTCCACTGCTGCTTACAGAGACAGGGGCCTATGTACATTACTACACCAAGGACTAGAGAGGATTTCAGTACCTCGTGGATACCTCTTGAATCTCTTTAAACATTTGCATTACTCCACATGTACACATCTGTCTATGCCAATGATTTCTTTAAATTTGAAATTCTAGAATATAGGAAGAAGTATTTTTGTTCCAATTCTGCTGTCATCTGTGACATTTTAAATATACCTTTTTGAACTGTCATATTGATACACAACTTGAAGATATCTAGTGGGCCAAAAACACATATGTTCTGCAATTATTTCTATAACAAGGTAACAGGCACCATTTCCCCACTTCCCATCTCATGTATATTCCCATCTCTTCTTTCTTCAATCACCAGTAGTTGAGTGAGTGAGTTGTTATCACAGAAATAACTGATCAGTATTCAACCAAATTGTGCTCAGAAAACAAACAAAAAATGAAATGTTCTATTTTATCTCTAATCCAAGGTCAAAAACTACTGGCTAAATACAATGGAACAATGTTTAACCTGGTACTATTAGCAAAGTTATAATACCCGCTATACTGGAACCTAAAACATGGGGCATGCACATAGTCTAAACAGTTAAGCTGACACACACAATTAGCATGCAAGCTAAATGAAAAACAGAGTGGAAAGACGACTTTTTCACTTCAGCAATTGCATTTTGACAGCGGATGTACGCCACTGCCAGATTACATGACAGTGACTGCAGCTGATTGACTACAGTCACTGTTCAGCCAAAAATATTTGTCCCTGCTCCTTCCACTTGATTTGAGTTGATTGAGTAATAGACTTTTGTTGAACCAGCAGGGCCACCCACTGTAAGAATTTCATCAGATTCCTGTATATCAGCCAAAATTCTAAGAGTGTATGGCTAGCCTTACAACCATTACTTTTCTTAAAACACTCACATAACATGATATAGCTCAGGTATAAAACAATAGAATAAAGATAAAAACATGAATTAATACTAACTGGCTCGGTGTTACTGGATTCCACATCAAAGAGAATCAGTGGCTCGGAGTTGGCTGGATCTTCACAGACGGTTTCCAGCTGATTATAACAGTAAATACAACATAAGAAAGTAATAAGATCCTACAATGTGGTCTACCTCTCATGTTCATCATACTGAAAATGATATGAGCACAAAAAGCAGCACAAACGTTCAGGTTAGTATAGGAGCGACTGATAACATTCAGAGATATATATATATATTTATAGCTGAAACGTATAATCCTGACAATGCTGCTGGAGCACTGACTGATGCTTGATGCAGCATGTCTATTTGTAGCATGCACAAAATTATGCATCCAAATTGCATAGAATGATAGCATGTAGCTATTCCAGCACTGCGGCAGATCCAACAGTTCAAATGGTAAAGTATATAGAGTACTTAGTCCAAAAGAATTCTACTAAAGGAAACTTGTCATGAGAGAAGCAAGGAAGCTCCTATTGCTGATCTCTTATGAAAATGCAAGTAGCTATGCCTTTATTCTGACCCTCTCACGTTAAAACTTGGGCTAGCATATAAGGACTTCAGACTTTTCTTGTCAGCAAACATATTTAAGTCAGTGACTTGTAAAATAATGAAGCCAGGGGGTTAGCAAAACAACCAAGCAAATAGCACTTTAAGAAGGAAGCAGACACATGCCTCTCCCACCTGGTTTATTTTCAACTAACACATTTTTGCTGATTGTCCTTTTAAAGAATTCCTTCTTACCTCTTTTCTAATTGGACAAACTGTGCTTGTTCCACGATATGCTTCATACATACCATCTGTACTAGGCTTCAAAGATGCTGAAATTAAAATCAATATTCATTACTGGTTTTCTTCAAATATAGATTATATTTCTGCATGAATGCATTTAAATACATGAAGGGGAAAATCAGCATTTTATATATACCCACATTTGTATTCAGAACTGTAACCAAAAAGTAACAAGCTATACATTTTACAGGCTGGGGCACAAATATTGTGCAAAACCCAAACAAGTGCCTGGTTAGGGCAGGGTAGCTCCAAGGCAACACCCAATAATAGTAAACTACCAAAGATAAAGATTGTGAACATTTACAATCTTTATCTTAGGGTGGGACACAAAAGTGCAAACTTTCCATGTGATAATGCATGTCTCTGCACTTAGTTTACACAGCTGGTATCAGGGGAACAAAAGCCATAGACTGGAAAAAGTAGTCTGGTTGGTCAATATTAACGACCAAAACTTTACATGGCGGTCAGATAACAAAATATTAATTCTATGCCCAAGGGTAAACTGCAAATGCAATGCAGAAAATGCTACTCACGTCAAAAAGTATACTTCATACACCTGAATTACAGTCTTATATCATTTTCCTAACGTCAGACTGGGTAAATCTTGAAGAAGACCTCCAGGCAGGATTACATTCTCTTGCTAGTCATTCTATGCTGTGAAAGCTTACTCCTTCAGTTTTTAATCTCTTACGTATACTTTTCATATTTCCTGTGAATTGCAATCCCCTAAATGCACAGGATGTAAATAAGCAGACTGCAAACGACAAGTAAAGCTTTGACTCCCTGGCCTGATAATAAGGACATTGTCATAGCCGAGAATACTACAATATTGTAGAGATGAAAAGCAAAAGCTCAGTACAAGTAGGAAGTGTCCTGCCTTCTCCTTGTGGCCCAACCACCTTTAAAATCCAATTAAAATTGTCTATAACTTTAATTCTCCATCTTGAGACTCCGAGTAAACTTATATCTACTCTCTCATTACTAATCCATCTTTTTGTTGGTCTTCCACTCCTTGATCTTTTTCAAAAATCTTTTTTAGGGTTATTTAACTTATTCATATCAATAATAAGAATACGCCATTTATGATTCTTGTTTTATTATGTATAATTGGATGTAGTTAGTTAGTTGTGCCATTTTAACTTTTTCCTTAAAAAGTCAATCTTAAAGTGTAACTCCCCTTTTCTTTAGAAAATACAAATCCATTCTGTATTTTTATTGTAATTTTAAAAAAATTACAGGGGCTGCAGATTAAAATGTAAAGGTAATTTGTTTATAACGTTAAATTACAAAATGGCTTATGTAGCAATTATACTACATTCACTTTTTTTATACCGAAAGTGGAGTTTTCCTTTAAAACTTTGCTTTTCACCAGTTTAGTCCCATCTCTAATTCTGTTGCCTAAGTCTCCACTCAATACATACAAAATCCTTTAAGCTGTGCTCCAGCTAGGAACCCTCCTCACCAAAAATAAAATACCACCCACCCCCCTCGCTGCAGCAAGGAAACACTAAACACCTGTTACTTAATTTAATCATGTGATGCAACAGGTCCCAAATGTTCTACGCATCTTTTAGACTGCACACTAGGAGGATCCTTCTTCAGGAGCCCATGTTGCTGCCTGAATGACGTGGACTCCTCATGCTGGCTGCCCACAGAAGGGTCCTTAAAAGCTCCCGAGGACTACAGCTGCATGATGATGTCAAAACAAGGGGACCAGTCAGCAGTGGGCCTGGATTGCAACACTTGTCCCCAGTCCCAGAAAAGGCGCTGGAAGTGGATCATGTGAAGGCAGACTCCAGTGAATGAAAAGTGCTTTCAAGGGCTTTTTTAAAGGAGAACTATGAGGTGAGTGCTTTTCACTCACCTCATAGTTCTAGCCGACCTGTGACAATGAGACTGTCATAGGTCGGCTCAGTAGATCGGGAGGTGAGGGAACACATACCGGCGTTCGCTTGCCTCTCGATCCTGTCACAGCTCTCTGCCGTGACAGGGGAGGGGCTGGATTCCCTCCTCCCTGCTCCGATCCGCCAGCGCTGACTGGCGGAACGGACGGGGAGGGGGCGGGAACAGCTACAGCTCGCGGTATACTGAGCCTAGGGTGACGGGAGGGCGCTAGTTTGTATCCTCCTGTTACCCTAAGGAGAACTATGGGGGAAAATACTTAACCCCATAGTTCTCCTTTAAATACAAACTTGTGGTGGGAATAGGGGTGGTGATCGTGGGAGGATTTGAGGAACTTTACATTATGCCAGAGATGGGCTTTGATTCTGAACCATCTTTAGAGATTAATTAGAGATTAGCAGCTACTCTTAGGTTTTGCCCTGGATACATGTTGTCTACATTGATCGTGCAGCCCAAATAGCAGAACAATTTTACTCATTTATATTCGGTTTACAACATTTGCTTGTTTTTCCATTATGACATTATCACTGGTGCAAGATATATTCTGTAGTGTTCCACTTGCCATTAAGTACGAAGATCTGAACTACATCAAATTGTAACAAAGTATATGTCTAGCCAAAACATAGGGAATGATTAAAACCCCTGTTAATTTTGTATTGATGTCCCTGCTGGGTAGATTTATCTTCCATTAGTGTCCTGACGACTAAAAGTTTACAGTTGCCACCAGAATAAGAGGTGGGGTAAAATCTTCAACTATTTTTTAGAGTACAACTGTCTAAGAGACAGCACAGTGGTATAGTGGTATAGTGGTTAGCGCAAAGAGTTTGCATGTTCTCCCTGTGCTTGCATGGGTTTCCTCTGGGTACTTCCCACGCTCCAAAGACATACTGGAAGGTTAATTGCCTTCTGTCTACCTCGGCCCTGTATGCATGTGAGATAGGGACCTTAGATTGTAAGCTCCTTGAGGGCAGGGACTGATGTGAATGTGCACTATGTAAAGCACTGTGTAAAATGTCGGCGTTTTATAAATACCAATAATAAATAAGAGAGCTATTCTCCTCACTTTGCAAAGAAATCCCATCACTTACTTTGCATGTCTGGGACTGGAAGTGAAGGAAAACCATCCCAATGGGACACAGACAGGAAAAATAAACTGACAAGGGTTTTAACCCTTGCATATCTACAACTGAAAAAAATATTCAAGTAAATTCTAACCTATTTATGTTATAAAAGGTTTATACTTCCCAATTACATGTTAAATTAATTTGACACATTTTTAACCGAAAATTATTTCTCTGCACTTTTTAATAAATAAACATGCAATTGTTTTAACTGCTTTGATATTTGCTCAAGCTACCCAATACACGTGATCTCTGTGACCATGACACATAATATCAAATGTAAAATGTGTTTGTTGATACATAAGCAGAGCAGGAAATGCGTACAATGCATTTGCATTTCCTTTATTTCTATTTGCTTGTGGCAGATTTTCTATGTTATTATCACTACATCGACGAGGCCATCATACTCATGTGCAGCTTGTGATGTCTCAGAAGCAGCTTGTTGCTGTAATTCTTATTCCAGGCATGAAGCCATAAATGTCTGCTCTTGAAAGCTGCAGCCCAGCAGATTGGCATCTGTAGAGCTGTGTAATGTTTATTTCTATACACATACACACTTTGTTTAGATGGTATCAATCTGGATTTATTGCTTTTGCGGCAATTTGTACAACCCATTCATCATATTATCCTTCGGTTGTATTTATTATAGGCCTCTAGAATACCGATACATTTTCTTAGTTACACAGTGGTAAGAAAAGCTTCAAACTAGTAGCATCGACCACAGGAATAATCAATACATAAATCCCAGTGCAGAGTGGCAAGAGATTATATGTTTCCCTCTTATTAAATGAAACAAGAATCAAGATGTAGGCCTCATTTACAAACACTCAATGTACACGTGCTGTCAGTAGCAACCAATAATAATTATAATGGTATTTTTACACTGTGAATAAAAACAAAAAGGTAATATCTTTTGAGATGAACACCTGAACACCCATTTTTTTTTAATGAAAGGAGCTTAAGGTATACCTAAAACCAAAACATATATCTGCTATCTGTGTCCCACTGGGAAAATTACCCTAATTTCCTGTTCAGTAGACACAACAGGAGAGGAAAGCTCTCCAATAAGCAAAATCTCCTCCTAGCTAGCTGTCGCTGTAACAAGTGTCCCTATTGAAAGTCTTCCCCTTTATTTCTGATCCGTTGACAACTCAAAATTTTGGATTTCCCCAATGGGACACAGGCAGCAATAAATCTGACAGAAGTTCTAAGCCTCCCCTACTAACATGACCCCCAGAGGCAGAAGCATGATGGGATTTGTAGTTTCAGCACAGCTGGAAAGCCAAGGTTGCCTAGCCCTGAGCTAGGCAAATAGGTAAGAGTATGATCCAGGGTTGCTTCAGTTGGTCAGGTCTAGGTTCAGCAACATGTCCCCAAAAAATGAGGTCAGCTGCCTATCTTAATATACTGAATGGCCAGGTTTTTCTATCAGTTATTTTTTTTCTTCTTTACTGATGGCATGGGCATATTCCAAGAGGACAATGCCAGGATTCTGTCATGAAACCAGACTCGACCCATGCACTCAGAATCCTGCACGAGCACCTGTGCACGGGCATAGTTTCACAGCATGCGCATGAACATGCACACACACGTATTGCTGATATTCACGCTAAACGGGCTATTTAAGGTTGTGACATTCTTGCTTCCAATGCTTACTTGTCTTCAGCTGTTCCCGGCTTGTATCCTGTAACCTGCATCTCAACTCTGATCAACGGTTATTGACCCGGCTTGGCTGACTAATCATCTGCTCTTCTGGATTCCCTTGGCCTGTTTCTGACCACGCTCCTGCTTGCTGCTTTGTACTTTGCTGCCCGCAAGTTGCTGACCCGGTCCGTCCCTGACTAGGTTTTGTCTGCTGTTCTGGTACCTCGCTGCTTGACCGTTGCTGACGCGGCTTGTCTTGGACTTCACTACTACTGGCACTTCTATCCGTGTACCTGTTCCACTTCCAGGAGTTCTTGGACTTGAGCTGCAAGAAAGGCCTCCCTCGTCAACTCAGACTCCCCTGAGGTACATGGTTCTGACAGATTCAATGGGCTCAAATTGTTCCAAGAGTGCTTCAGAAAGCATGAGACATCATCGTCACACATGGATTGGCTACCACAGTCCAGACCTTAACCCCGTTGAGAATCTGCTCCCCATTGGAATGTGCTGGAGCAGACTTTACGTAGTGGTCTTACTCTCCCATTATCACTACAAGATCTTGGTGAAAAATTAATGCAACCCTGGACGGAAATACATTTTGCAACATTGCATAAACTAATGCATCAAAATGTTGCCACGATGCATTCTGTATTCAAAGATAAAGGCGATCCAACTAAATATTAGAGAGTGTGACTTTTTTGGTCAGGCAGTGTATTAACAGTGCTTATGGAGCCCAATAAAGTACTACTGTTTGCATAAGAATAAAATTACCTTGCTTACATGTGGGGTCTCCATTGAAGACGAATATGAGTTACATTGTTTGTTTTCTATTAAAACAGTACTCATTTAAGCTAGGCAATAAAACACACCAGTTTATAAACCCTCCCGGCCCATTTGGCAAATTTAAAGATTAGCCATTTGTGCCTGCAACCCGCAGTAGGCAATCATTATTTCTACTAATACAATGTCTAGTTCAAAAGCCAGACAGCTTGAAATAACTTTAAAATGTATGTGCTGGCATACTGGCTATCAATTATTTTCAGGTATATTCTTAGTTTATAAGCCAAACTGGCTTTATGCTGTTAGATGGGTTTCAGCTGTGATGAACGTGCCTGAAAGCATGCTCATCGCTTGTATAAAACAACAGCCAGCACACCCTATAAATATGTGATCAGCTTCAAGTTGGGGGCTGAGGGGTGCTTTACTGGCTTTAGGAGGCCAAAGCTACTTTTTTTTGTTTTCAATCTGGTGGGCAACATATTTTATTGATTTTAGGCTTTAAATCTTCATAAATCCTTGCTATACGCATACACTATATGGGGATATAAAAAAAGCTTCCCCAGGCACAGAAATATTGTGTGGAGTTCTATATCTTTTGGGGTTAACCAGACCAAGAGTGATTGCATCTTATGCACCCACAGTTATTATACCACTAGAACAAAACCTACACTTGTATTTACTCTCATTCCGCATGTTACCTACATCAAAATAAATCTTTCTTTTTAGCAAATAGGAGCAGAAACTCTTATTAAACAAGACGATATACTTTTATTTTTAGTATTGTACTACCAAATACCCAGGAAGGAAACTAGCATTGACATTGTTATGTAAAGTTGCTGATATATTAATATATTGATCTGAAAAAATAAATATTTATTTACCTGGCTGAATGATTTCAGACAACAAGTTCTTGGGTAGCGTATCTGGCAAATCAAAGCCATTCTTCCTAGCAACAATAAGATGAAAAGCCGCACAAAATTCCGCAAGAGTCAGCGCTCCATCACAGTCAACATCACTAAGATCCCTGAAAGAAAACAATTATCTGTAAAAGTATACAGAACTGAAATGTCAAACCCAACTACCCGAAGGTCACTTTCATTTTATTTTCTAACTCACAATACAAAAAATGTAGGCGATATCCGACTGGATGAAATACTGTTTTTATCACCCCTATATTCTGTAACTCTACTTATTAGGGAACAAAATGATATTTCCAATAACATACTTCCACTCTTTAACTGCGGTTTAGAGCTGTGAGGAACAAAAACAAACAGGTGAATTACAATGTAATAAGGAAAACACTATAAAATGGATGTTTATATCAATTTTTTTTTTTAACTACCTCCGGGCCGGCCAGGAGCTCTCTCGATCTGAGCGGGCGTCTCTAGACGTCCGCTCAGACACGCCCGGCGCGCGCGCGCGGGAAACGGGTGCGCGCAATTTTAAAGCTTGACATGTTTAGTGTCTATTTAACCGACGTGACCTGATCTTTAATATTTGACCAAAAAACTGGGTAATAATAAATGTTTCCTAACATAATGTTACAAAAAACGTTTTTTTTTCAAAATTTTCAGTAATTTTTCCTAATTATAATAAAAAATAAAACCCGTAGTGGTGATTAAATACCACCAAAAGAAAGCTCTATCTGTCCCCAAAAAATGGTATAAAATTCATCTCAGTACAGCGTTGCATGACGGAATAAACGTCAGTCAAAGTATCGCAGCGCTGAATACTGAAAAATGGCCTGGCCAGGAAGGGGGTCTAAACACCTGGTCTTGAAGTGGTTAAACCTGGTTTGAGGGCCTTCTACACAAGGACTTCAGCTTGTATAAGAGCAGTGTACACAGCATGCTGGAGCTACTTTTCTAATGCTTTTTAAAAGCTTTCTGCATACACTTACTCTTATACTGCAGGCACTTCCATTTATCATATACTTTTACAGTGTTATACTCACCAAACATGTGAAAGTTCTGGAATAGGAAGCTTTGATTTGGTAAAGAAATGTTTAGCCACCGAACCTGTGCGGAATAAAAAACATCTATAATAGTTTTCACATGAACATATGTACTGGAATTATATATATAAAATTTTGTTTCCAGTAGTTCAAACTGCACTGTAATGTCAGGTAGAGGTCATGCCACTCAAACCTCAAACATACATAGCCTGTTGAATTTTCTAACCTTATTATCAGCCCATTTCTCACAAACCCAACGAAAGCAAATGGGGTGCTCCTAATTATTGCATTGCTTGTGATGATCATGGTGAACCTGACCCCTTTATAGGCAGTGGTAGTTGGAGGCACTCATTACTGCACATGGAAATATTACATCTTCTTAGAAGACTACCATGTAAAGTTATAGATGGAAAGTATAATTCCTTAATTGCGTTCATCATTGGCCAATTATCAGAGTGGGTCTTCCCAGCCCAGCGAGTTGTTCAAAAACATGTAGCAACTTCATTTATATCTCATATTATTCTAGAGAAGATATTTGTCCCAGTGTAAGCAATTTCACTATCTGCGTTAGGTCAGTGGTTAAAATTAAGTAGTTGCTATTAAAAGATCTGGTTCTTTAGCTCATTAGGATTTAGACACCCAGCCCCTCTTCCCGGCTCACAGAGGTTTATTGACAGCATTGTACAACCCTGCTTAATGATCATTTAGTGTTTTGCAGAACACTTTTACTCCAGTGCCCTATCTTCCATTTAATGTCTTATTCTTGCAAGATCACTTTCAAAATTAATGGGATACCTAAAACGTATAGCAGCTAGTTTTCCCCTACAATTTTGGAAACCTAGGACTGATGTATGCAAACTTTTCGATGACCCAGAGCCTTATGTGTGAAGTATAACACCACATATAATTACACAGCTTAGAAACACAATTTAGAGCAGTTATTTATTGTACCAGAAATGAAGGAATTTAGATCTGGTTGAAGCGTTATAAACTGGTTAGTATAATACTCTCGCTGCTCTTCCGTTATCCTCCAGGGGTCCTCAGAGTAACTGTCGGAACTGTCCTGTGCTTCTCTTTCAGCTGTAAAGGACTGCTGTGTAGAGAGACAGGTCTGTCAGTGATCAATGCAGCATAAACTTCATAGCATCTGAAATGCCCAAACATTAACATTTTACAGCATATACTTCTGAATTATGTTTACACCCAAATATTTTACCATGCACACATTTAATATAAAGGACAACTCACAATGTATAAAACTTGTAGATTTAAAAATGTCACAGAAATTAATTGCCACCTATTAAAAGCCAAACACAATTCGGATGTGTTTGGCCATATATCATTCTTTCATATTTAGGTTCAGAGTTGAATGACTACACACAACAGAGAATGTATGCAACAATTCTGTCACCCAGCCACTAGAAAAACAAATACCATGTGGGCAGCATAGTGGTTAGCGCTTCAGCATTGCAGCCCTGGGGGTCCCTGGTTCGAATCCTGGCCAAGTCACTATCTGCACATCACGCTCCAAAGACATGCAAAGACATGTAAATTGGCCTGTATGTATACATGTGAGAATGGGAACTTAGATTGTAAGCTCCTTGAGGGCAGGGACTGATATGAATGTGCACCTAAATAAAGTGCTGCGTAAAAATTTGTTAATAAATAAATAAATGTGATACAGATTAAAATCTTTTTGTATAACCACAGATTTCATGGATTTCATGAGGCAAAGAACAATCAGCAACAGGTATAACTCCACAGCAAAGAATTAAAACTCATCCTTCTCTAATATAAACCACAGATAATTGAAATCTGATTGACTGATATAGGTTGCTTTACTTTGGGCATTTTTCTTTTCGATAAATGAGCCTATTAAACTGCTGTGCCCACAAACTAAGAGTCATATGTAGAAGGTATAAAAAGCAGCAGCAATAGAGTAGAAAAAACATTTTTTCTTAATTTTACATCCTACAATATTTCATCACTTCAGCACTTTTAAAAGAGGGTTTTTAAAAAAAATATAAAATAACTGTTTTCAAAAGGTAATTAACCCATAATATACTTACCTGTATGGAGTTCCTATTACCAGTTCACATTCTTACACAAAGTATCACTTTGTCTTACACATTTGACTATTTTTGGTATAGGCTTTCAGAGGGGGGCTGTGCGGCTCTCGGGGAGCTCTCAGGAAGGGCTGTACAGCTCTCAGGGGGGCTGTGCAGCTTTTAAGGGGGTCTGTGCAGTTTACAGGGGGGCTGTGTGGCTCTTGGGGGTGATGTGTGGCTCTCAGGGGTGGGCTGTGCGGACTCTCAGGGGTGGGGGGCGGGGCGGCTCTCCTGGAGGGTAGCTGCTGCTCAAAAGAGCCAACGGTCTGGGATCGCCTTGGTACACGATCAGGGACGGTGACAGTCAGGTAGCAGGCGGCAGCCTCTAAACAGGAAAATTAGACGGCTGCTTGCTAGGGTCTCTCGTCTAATATGCCTTTCTGTGTATCGAGGCGATCCGGGACGGTCTGATCTATTTTCATTGGTGGTCCCTGAACTTGGGCTCGCGTGCCAGCAGCAGAGAGCCCCGCATGCCATAGGTTTGCCACCACTGCTCTAGACAGTGGTTTCATGGCATTTTGGTTAAGATCATATTAAACCCTGCCTCACATGCAAAATCCAAATTAGGTCCATACTAAACAACTACATACCATGTCATCCAATTTATTGATTTGTCACCATTTATATATGACATCTTAAGGAAGTTGGGATGTGGGAAATTTAAGTGTCACTTTCTATTTTTCTGAAAAACTCAGTAATGATTCAGCGAAATACATCTAATGAACAGGCTAACCTAATACAAAGTACTGTATAATTTTGGGTCTGGTTGGATGATACAATATAATACTGCATGTTAAAAAAAAGTTTAGAAGGGTAAAAATGCCATGCAGCTGCTCTATATACACTTACTTGATTTCAATTAAGACTTTTAAGTAAGTATAAAAGACAAAAAATCTAGACAATCTAGCATTTTCAAAAGGCAATGGCAGCCTACATTTTTCTTTCAGCACAAGTTTTCTTTAATGCATCAACTTGTGCAATCTTGCCTTACATACAGTGTTAACTGTGAGATTAGGTTCATAATGACGAAAAAAAAATGTTTATTCTGAATTTTTCATTATATTTTTATTTAATGAAATATTTTCCTTTGGAGGTGCCAGACACATATTTGCTGTGTTGCTCTGAGTGAACAATCATTTTCAAAGAATTCACTTTAGACCAATCAGACCAATATATTTGCATTCCCTAAAATACAGTAAAAAACACAATCAATTATAACATCCATGCTACAGTGAAAACAAGTGAAACATTCTACAGCCCATGTAATCATTTCATCTTGAATACTACCATAAAAATAATTAAAAGGGTAAAAAAACTGACCACCCACGGTTTGAGATTTTGTAGATATGATCTAGATCAGGCCTTCTTAAACTTTCTCCACTCGTGACCCCTTTTTGGCCGAGGAAATAAAACCTTCCTGTGCACACGTGCTCAGTAAGGTACCAAGCGACCTTAAAAAACGCACTACACTGCAAATTATACTTTAAACTGAAATAAAACAATCTAGCTTGGAGCCCAGGCTTCCTCGCCCGCCTGGCCCCTCACACAAGTACCGGCCGCGACAAGTATCGCGACCCCCCTGTTCACTTGCGGGACCCCATATGGGGTCGCGACCCACACTTTAAGAAGCACTGATCTAGATAACCAAATAATCCTAATTTGGACATTTATTGCCTCAATACTTAGAGAACTATGGGGTCAGTGTTTTTCCCCATAGTTCTCCTTAGGGTAACGGCAGGACACAAACTAGCGTCCTCCCGTTACCCTAAGCTCAGTATACATCGAGCTACAGCTCGCGGTATACTGAGACGCTGGAGCGGATCCCGATGTAGATGACGGGATCCGCCCAGCTGCGTGAGTGACAGCTGGCTCTGCCTATCTAGAGGCAGAGCCAGCTGTACCCGCCCCCTCCCCCGTCCGTTCCACCAGTCAGCGCTGGCAGATTGGAGCGGGGAGAGGGGAATCCAGCCCTCCCCCTGTCACGGCAGAGAGCCATGACAGGATCGAGAGGTGAGCAAACCTGGTATGTGTTCGCTCACCTCCCGATCTACTGAGCCGACCTGTGACAGTCTCATTGTCACAGGTCGGCTAGAACTATGAGGCGAGTGGAAATCACTCATCTCATAGTTCTCCTTTAAAAATGCCTTGCATTACTCTTTAGTAAAATGCAGGCCAGAGGGGCAGTAGATTACTTGATCCTGATGTTAAAAAATGTGTCTCACGGAAAAATTAGCTGTTGTCTAATGTAGAGGAAGTTTGTTCTTTTGAGAGAAAGCCTATCTCTATCGTATTTGAGTAGTACTGCCTAAATGCTGCATGAAAGGGCTCTGCTGCCCTTCCTTTCTCTCTAAACGTGCCCACCAATTTAATGTCTTCCAAAACACCTGTTAGTGATGCCAAATGTCATGGTCATCCGTGTGCTTATTTCAGCTCTCAACTGAACTTCCAAGCCCTCAAATGGCTCGTGCAATAGCTGATCACATGTGCAGCACAATGGCAACTGCAATCAAAATAGAGGCTAAGATAAGATCTTCCTTGGCTGTAAGGGATAGGAGGGTGTAGTTCTGCTTTAAGCAACTACATACCAAGTCCTCCAACTTGCAGCTGTATCCCCATTAATATATGGCCGCTGTATGGAGGTTAGGTTGTGGGAAAGTTGGGTGTTACTTTCTAGTTTTCTGAAGTGCTCAATGACTATTTAGCGCAATACACCTAACAAACAGGCAAATACCTGACAAAGGGCATAAGGAAAATGGAGGCCTTAAAGCTTAATTTGAAGTCACTGAAATAGATTACTCAGATAGATGAACGAACAATATCCATTGTCATAGTCCTATCTCTACTTGCCTGCGGTAAGGCAGTTTTGTAGTATGTCTAAATATGACTGTGCAGTCCAGTAAGCACCTGGTCGGATGTCCCATCTCTTTCTCAGTACTTCAAGTCTGCGAGGAAGCTTGCATAGCTTGCAACCCCATTTGGAGAGACTATCCCAGTTTTGGAACCAAATCCCTCTATCTTTCCTCCTCATTTGTCCCTCTTTTTGATCTAGTGTATTAAAATAAATGTACTATCTAACTACCAAAAAAGTGCTAAACTACGCTAAACTATATGTCCAACCTCTAAGTTATTGCATTTGTTATTATGAGAAGATAGCATAAAGGAATAGTAGTTGGAATATAAGCACACATGGGTTTAAGAAATCAATGTTTGCATTTTAGTTCTTCCTGGCCCATGTACCTGGAGGCATGTCCTTTGCCTACACACTTTGTGCTAACAGGTGTCCCTCTTTCTTATCTTTGAAAATTGAGCGACATGATCTTATGATGGGGCGTTGGCAGTTACTTAGCTATGCCAGGTCAGATAACTGGAGTGTCAGAGCAGGATGTGCATCTCCACAAGGAAATCAAGGTGTTTTAAAGTATTTCTAAGGGAGTACGTTTAAAATAATAACATACAGGGATACAGAGCTACAGAGAGAGAGAAATGTGTAACATGTCTCTTCTAAAATACAATGAAATCTTTGTTACTGAAGGAACCAGGTACAGTGTTTACCTGTCTACCTCTAACATTCATTTTATTACCCCAGTGAAGATGCTCTTTTAGTGGCAAAGTAAGATCAAAGGTTGAATTTAAAGCCTGCTTCACACCTTTGTATGCAAACATTTAAATCAGAGTTTTAGTGTTTTTTGTTTTTTAACGTGCTTTGCATGCATTTAAACACATATGTAATTGGAAGCAGTGAGTGCACTCCATACATTTTCATGTTTAACGCAAATGGCACCACAGGCAATAAGGGATCATATAGTCCACACCAAAGGACTTATTTTAAAAGAAATAGAATAGCTTTTTTTTTTTAAATTGAATTCACCAAATAGAAGTCCGTCACATGGTAGAACCATTTTGAGTCACTCTGGACTCTTTTTCAAGCTCAACATAACTTCAACACAATAATACTGCACCTCCCTATACAAAGACGTTTTACATACATGTCCCCAGTTTAGATGTAGGCAGTACTTACTGTATTTATAATTAAACGAAAGCTTATCGCAAGCCTGGCAATTTAAACCTAGCATACGATAAAAAATACATGAGCAGAGTAAACAGCATTTCAAAGTGAACTGTAGATGCAAGATATAGGTAGCTGCACTTTTATACAAATATCCACTCCCCTCACCCAATCTCTTTGTATCCCTACTGGTCAGTGAGGTCATCCATCATATTAAGGGGCTGACAGTAAGGTGTGGTAGGCAAGAGGGAGCAGGGCCAAAGTCAACTTTTAGTTGGAAACAATCTAAGATTTAGATATATCTTCAGCCACCTATATCTTCGGATCTATTGATCACCTTGATGTGTAGCTTTGCCTAAAGTATGTTTTGTTTAAATTATTATTCTATACCCATGCCCAAGTTTTTAAAAGGTTATTTTACTAGTAGAACTACTGCAAACCATCCTTCATGACTGCATTTACATCACATTCTTGGAACCATAGCTAAATGTTTTAGCATCGGTCATCTCACCTTTAATTCGTACACTGTATATTATCTGCATATTTGTAGTAAACCAATGTTGTCAGACATATGTAAAGGAATTTAAAAGCTTCTAAAGCTGCCTGACCTGCCATACCTCTACCCAAGACAGTACAATTTCACTGTATAAAAGAGTGTCAACTTGACAGTACAATGCAGTAGAAGTGCCATATAAAATGTACACCTCCATAGTTTGAGCCATGTATGTAACATTTTTATTTGTTCATCTGGGTTTCAGGTTTAATTTTTCAGCATTGCAATATCAAACAGTTAATATGTAGATTCCTGATAAAAATATACCGTAAGTACATTTGCTGCACAAATGACAGAGTGATTTTAATCAACCAAACCTTTTAAAATGATTACATTTATATAGATAGCTATTATTTTATAAGGACCGTAAAATGAAAAACATAAGATAGATAGATAGATAGATAGATAGATAGATAGATAGATAGATAGATAGATAGATAGATAGATAAAATACCTCTCTGACCATAAAACAAATGTTAAAGGTGAATGTTTAAACATCAAATGGCTTTTATATGTTGAATTGAACAGAGTAGCATTATAATAGATGGTGCGTTAGTAACCAAGAAGCTCTTTATCAATAAAAAAAAAAAAGGAGCAGAATCCTTTCCAGAACTATCCTTGTATAGCTAACTTAGAAGAAAGACAAAGAAAAAAACGTATATATCTGCAGCCGTCTCTCTTTATGGTTACAGCACAGACATAGAAATATTGCAGAGTATAAGATTTCAATATGTAAAAAAAAACAAAAAAAAAAACTTTAGCTTCTTGTCTGCTTCATTGGTGTACCATGTGTTCTGCAGATGTCTGACATAGTTAAACATGATAACGATAGCAGGGAGAGGTGATGGATGCTCAGCTAGTCATTGGTACGAGCCTATAGAACATGTCAGCATTTGCAGCTGCAATTTAAACACTGTGCCATCCCTTTTCTACAATCTTATTCCAAGATTTACATTCCACGGCGAGCAGCAATTATTTATAATGGTGGATTCCTGGCAAACTAAAGCAAAAAAAAAAAATCCAGGTGCTGCTGTCTTATCAGACTGTAGAGGAACAGTATAAAATACATGGGTGGAGGGTAAACTGCATTGCTCTGGCATGTTTTTCATTTTGAATTTGCTTGCTGCGTGAAATGTCCTTACCCGGCTGAGAGAAGGCTGCAGAGGAGCAGGCTGGATTCCATAGTTCAGCGGCAACTGTCCATCCTGCTGAAGTAGTGCAGGGTGTCTAGTCTCATATGCTGCTGCAGAGAGGGAATAATAAAGAAGAATCGGTCATGTGACTCACAGGCTGCTGTTGCATGGTTACAAGCTGCAAGTGGTAATTAACTGAATTTAAAGCAATACAGGGCTGCTAAAAGTCACTTAACCAGTTGACTGCTGAGAACATTGCATTCTTCAATAATGGAATCATATGAATAATAAGCATGGACTTCCTGACAAAGATTTCTTACTCTACAGCGTAGTAACAAAGAGTGTAGAGCTCTCTGTTAGATCCACTGTTGCCTGCCATGTGGGGGTGGGGGAGTTATTCGCTTCTCATATCGAATTCATCATGTGATCTTAAATTCTGCTCACTTAGGCCCCGTTCCCACTGCGCGATATGCAAATCGCGCGTTTGTCGCGCGATTTGCATATTTGCGCGACATCGCGAGATTTGCCGCGCGATGTCGCGTTCAAGCTTGCATTGAGCAAGCTTGAATCGCGGCTAAATCCGCTCCAAAAAGGGTCCTGCTGTAGCGACACACGACCCGCGACAGCAGGACCCTTTGCCCCATTGGATTGCATTGGAGCGCGATATCGCGCGGTAATTTGCCGCGATATCGCGGGAATTACCGCGCGATAAATCGCTCAATGTGAACGGGGTCTTAAAGGTAAACACTGAATGAACACCATGCATTTATGGAAAAATGCATTTGTATATACAACTTACATTTAAACCTGATCTGTCCAATCTGCGTGATTGGGTAATGATGAGGCAGCAGGACATTGATGAGGTTATCCTCATCAATGATCCTATTACCAGCTTTCTGTAACTTCTGCACAGTGACACTCAGGGTGTATAGGGAAGTCCATTATTCCCAGACAATCAGGCCTCTAACGTTTTGCACATTTTTTTTTATTAGCTTAACACTGCACATTCCAGGATTTTTTTTTCAACCCTTGCAGTGTAGCTACCCCTGCACTGCAAGGCTTAAGTCCTTATTTTTGTTTAGGTGCGAAAATGACAAAGTTATACACACCCGATCCTCGCACATGGCTGCCTGTTAGACCGGTCCTTCCAGCCTGTCTCCCCCTCCACTCCGGGAGGTCTAAGGTCCTGTGAGTCATCATGTCCTAAACAGTGTATAGGATGTGAAGACTCCAAGGGACATTCCATCGCTCCAGCGGAGAAGGTGACAGGCTGCAGGGAGCCCTGTAACAGCCCTCCACAAGGATCGAGTGAGTATAACCTTGCTACATATGCACCTATGCCAAAATGAGCACTTAACCCTTGCAGTGCCGGAGTAGCCCCAATCTGCATGGGTTCAGAAAACTTTTGCCCAGAGTTCTTCTTTAAAGGATGGAAGAGCAGAAGCATAACCTCATCAATGTGTGTCTGCTCCTTTATTGTACAATTAGGTGGTACTAAAACCTAGCATTCACAATGTGTAGTATTAGCAGTTATGCTTTATTAGTGCAGTATGCTAAAGTGGCAATATGGTGGCAGTACTGTAGGCTTTAAATACCAACACTACAGATACTTGACAAGTGTTAAAGGGTTAGTCCACCCAAAGCCAATGCTGTAGATTTAGTAGTCACAGCAAATTGAAACCACCTGGCAGTTCTAAAATACTTTTCAAGGTCTCTTTTAGGTGAACTGGCCATTTAAGTGAGCCTGAAAAGAATTAGGATGTTGAAAAGCTATGGAGCAAACAAAGTGACAAAAACAAACAAATGTTATAATCAGTAGGGAAGCAAGTGTTCAGAAATGACTAGATACACTGTCTGGCCCAAAAAAAAGTCACACACTGTAATATTCAGTTGGAGTGCCTTTAGCTTTGATCACGGCACACATTTGTCGTGGCATTGTTTCAATAAGCATATGACATGTCACAACATTTATTTTCTTCCAGGAGTTGCATTAATTTTTCACCAAGATCTTGTAGTGATGATGTAGTGTAGTGATGATGGGAGAGTTGGACCCCTACGTAAAGTCTTCTCCAGCACATGCCAAAGATTCTCAATGTGGTTAAGGTCTGGACTAGGGATTCACCGATACCAAGTACTGTACTCTGTACAAGTACAAATACAGATACTTTTGAGCTCCAAGACTAGACTAGAGAAAAATTCAAAAGTTAGGAGGCAACTGTCATTTGTAAGGAGCACACGGAGCTCCTGGGATTTGTACATTCCTGTCTTAATGTATGATTTTGTTTTTATAAACATATATACAGGGATGTACCAATACCATTTTAGCAAGTACTGATACTTACCCAAGTACTGATACATTTTTATTATCATGCAACAGTTTTTCTAAAACAATACAGACTAATGATTTCAGGACAGTGGTGGAGCGCCAGAGCCAGGTCCCAGCTGCAACCCTGGTAGTTCTCGTGAAAATGCCAAGTATCGGCACTGGTATCTGAAAAGTATCGGTGCATCCCTAGTCTGGACTATATGGTGGCCAATCCATGTGTGAAAATGACTCTCAGAAAGTCCAGGAAGGAGTGCCAGTGTTGGCATGGGGAATGGAAACTTTGTGATATCTACTGGTGTGTGACAGAAAGGCCTTCTAGTCTATTGAGAAAATGCATCAATTGTTTGTTAATCCCTTGCCTCCTATACACCAAATAATGTGACGTTTAGTTAGCTTAGTCAACAGCGCAGAGATCTGGGGGATCCAGAAGTAATAAAGAAAAAAAAAAAGAGTAATCTTGATCATGAATATTCTCCATATTCTTAAAATAGAGGGGACATTCCACTCCCTCAGGTCATTCAAAATTTGTTGAGGGAAATAAATTATGTTTATATAGTGTTGCAGAATGTGTTAGCTTAATACCCAGATAGAACATGTAATGTGGATGTCTATGGAACCCAAATTTATTAGGTATGCTTTTTGAGCAGAAAGGGGGGTGTTGCATAAGAGAATTTTAGAAATCTCTACATTTTAATTCCAAGATAGAGCTCAAGGTATTCAGCAATGAAAGGGGATTAGGAAAAGATATGCCTGTGTTAGCAATCATCAGCAAATAGGTTGTTGTTAAAACTTGACTTCTGTAATGCATTAATTGCCCGGATAGTGGTAAACAGCTTGAAATCTATATTTGACAATCAAACTGAATGATGGTTTCAATGGGTCTTTTGTTTTGGTATTATTGCTGAAGGTTTGTAGAAAAGCAGCAGAAGTGTTTTTCCTTTGCTAAACATAATTATATAGCTCAGAATATAGCTTACATTTAGATTGTGTGCCTTTACTAAAAAGAAATTTTCACAACATCAGTACCAGCAGGGTTTTACTATTTTAAGGCCTTTTATTTGAGCTCTTAATGTCTGTAATTAGGGCAACTACAGCTGAAGGAAAGGGACTGGGTATGGTAAGCCAATTACAAAAGTTGACCATGCTGACCGGACCCAAAGGGGTTTGGGTTTGACGATAATCTGTCTACTTTGTGATGCAATTTTGTGAATATCATTAACACATTCTTTTTTTTTTTTTCTTTTTTTCTGGAGGGAGCAAGAGAGAGGGAAAAGAGGGAGAGAGATAGACAGAGAGGGATGAGGGGGAGATATAAAGAGGGAGAGATATGAGGGGGGAAATATAAAGAGGGGGGGAAGAGAAAAGGAAAGAGAGAAAAAGAGGGAGACACAGAGGGGGAGAATGAAAGAGAGCAAGAGAGAGGAGGGGGGGGGGGGGGGGGGGGTAGAAAAGAGACAGCATTAACACATTCTTAAATGGCTGACCATTTGTCCAGTTTATCAATCTTATTTTTGTTTTCTTGTATCCAGTGTTCTGTTATTCGAGAGATATTCTGACCTCAATCTTTTAACTTGGCACTGAAGAAAATTGAATGGGGATTTTTGGTTTGCTAGTCCTAATTCGGGCCAATTAATGTTTGAGATTGGACTGGGCTGTTTGCTTATGTAGTACTTCAAATAGAAAAAACCCTTAAATGTACTTTATGTGCAGAGTTCTGCAGGGTATTCCAAGCACATTGTTGAGATATTTATTTGGCGATACCATTGAATATGTCAGGGTTGTAGCAGGGCACTTCATTTAGGCATCAGGTAAGTTTTGTTATTTAGATACTTCAAAAAGGTAAAAGCTAAAAGGCCTACTATTGTAGTCAGATCAAGAATAAAATAGGAGAAAAAAAGTTTGTGGGATTAGAAAAATTAGAAATAATTACACCAATCCCTGAATAGGATCTGTGACATGGGGAAAATTCTGTATAACCCGCTTTGGTGCCATTTATCTCAAGCCATGTGTCTTCATGGTTATATGGAGAAGCTGCACTAATTTAGTACATTGGGCAGTGGTGAGCGTATTCTTACCTAGGACAGAGCTAAAATGCATCTAAAATCAAAACATTCTTTTGTTTTAGATGAAATGTGAAAGCAATGTTTTTTGTGGTTTTTTTTTGCTATCTGCAACCCAATTTAAAGACAGAAAGTGATGGGAAATCCAAAATTGTACAGTTTCACCAGTAAAGCAGTAAAGGTTAAAGCCTGGTTCCCACCTGGGCGTTTTACAGCGCGTAGGAACGCGCTGAAAAACGCCCTACACCCAAAGAAGTACAGGAGCTTCTTTGGGGCGTTTTTCACGCGTTTCCATTGGTATTTCTGAGTGTGGATCGGGGTTAACAAAGCGGTAACCCCGAGCCACACTCGGGAATACAGCGTACAGGTCTTACCTTGTCCGTGATCACCGATGTGTCCTCCGGCGGCTTCCCGACTTCCGGGTTCCGTCCTTTGCGAGCGGCCACGTAGCAGGGGGGTGGAGCCAGCGGGAAGTTTGAAAGTGAAAAAAAAAATGTAAAAATAGAGAAAATAAGGGGGACGCGTTTCACTGAACGTAAAAACGTGCTAAAAAAACATGAAAAAAAAAACGAGCTGAAAAAATACGCTCAGGTGTGAACCCAGTGTAACTGTTCAAATTAAGACAATACATGGCATTTCACTAACTTTGTATTGTGCCTCCAAGACAGTAGAAATGGACACAGAGTTTAACCCTTTCCCATTCTATAAAAAAAAAAAAAGGGGC